TTCAGGTCACCAGAGATAATTATTCTAGGGCAGTCCAATTCCTTCACAATAAGTACAATAATAAAGAAGTCTTAGTCAATACTTTAGTAGAGAGACTAGATAAGTGTTCCCTACGTAGCCCGTCCATAAAGGACCAGCGTTCCTTGTTAGAACACCTGCAAGTGATCACTACCCAATTACGGGAAAAAGGTGAAGAAGTCAATAGCACATGGCTTCTCAAGATGGTTTTATCCAAATTCCCTCAGGGGATTACTCGAAAAGTCATCACGAAGAAACAAAACCTTTCTGATGCGAACCCTTTCACAATGGAACTGTTGTTCCAATATATAGAGGAAATCCTGGAAACCGAGGAAACCCTTCTAATGTACAGCGCGCCGAAACCAGCCCCAGATCCCATCCAGAAGGTGGCACGGTTTCAACAGGTGAAGAAAAATACCTGCATGTACTGTAGTGGGAATCACTCATCTACGGCTTGCACCAAGTATTTGACTCCCCAAGACCGATCCGCTTATCTAAGGCGCAATAATCTCTGCCTTATATGTGCCTCTCAAAGCCACAATACTACCCAATGCAAGGGAAAAATGTGCTTCAATTGTCAAGGGGCCCATCACACCTCCTGTTGCTTTAAATCTAAAACCTCAAAGGATTCCCCCAATAACAAAACCAGGGGAAACAATTCAAAAGACACTGGTAAGCCGGCAAAAAAGGAGGTCGACAGGGACAAAAAGGCTATTCAACCCCGTACAATTCGCTCCAATACTGTAACCAATAGCGAAGAAGGCACTTCAGAAGCAACAGTGTTCCAGCAACAGATGACCCCAAATGAGCAACCTTCAGAAGGCCCATGCTTACCAATTGGGGAACTAATGGTGATGAGTCCGGGAACTCAAGCGCTTCTGAAAATCAAGGTTCTTCTGGACACGGGGGCGGAACGGTCCTTTTTAGACAAGAAATTGGCGGAAAGGCTTCAGTTACCCGTATTAGAACAAAAGGAAATAAGGCTACATACGTTTGGAGCTGAGAAGGCACAGAAAACGGTATGTAGCCGCGTTCTCATACGGGTATGGGATTCAGAGGGGACTCCACATGACTTAGAAGTACTCACACATGACGTGTTAACTAAGTCGCTCAGAACACCCGACCTTTCTGCTCAAGATATTGAATTTGTCAATACGCTGGGATTGGTAATGAATTGGAAACATGACCATAGGAAGGCTAAGCCAGACCTCCTTTTGGGTTGCGATTACCTATGGTCATTCGTACGGAAAGACCAGGCTTCAATAGAATTGCCCTCCGGAATGCACATTTTACCCACGAAACTCGGTTACCTCCCAACGGGAAAAGCTACACATCGACAGCAGCCAGTTTCGGGGAACGGTAATTCGACCAGCGAAGAAGTAACATGGAACAATTATTGGTCCATGGACAGTACAGTAATGTATTCCGTAGGCCCACAGAACATGGAAGAAATTCAAGAAGAAGAATTGGAAATCACTCGGGATGAACAAGACCGATGGGAGCAGTTTTGGACTCTGGACGCAGCAGGAACGGAAGAATTCACCAGCACTGAAAGAGAAGAGCGGATAGCGAGGGATAGGAAAGTATGGAAACAATTCAATGACACAATCGAGCGACGCCCTGACGGGTATTACGTGCGACTCCCCTGGAAAGACCCATGCCCACAGCTACCTGACAATAAGGCTATAGCTTTCAAGATCTTGGTTAACGTTTGGCAAGCAATCAAGAGGGATGAACATCTGCTGGAACAGTACAATAAGGTTTTTCAGGATCAGTTAGCCCAAAACATCATCGAAATTGTCGAAGAAGACCAGGTACCTGTGGGGGTTCAGGTGCACTACATTCCACACCAGCCGGTGATTACACCACATAAAACAACGACAAAACTACGGGTGGTGTTCAATGCATCGGCCCATTATAGGGGGTGCCCATCTCTCAATGACGTTCTTCATAGAGGACCCGTAATTCTGCCTCTACTTTTCGGAGTTCTGCTGCGATTCCGAATTGGAAAGGTAGCAATAGCTTCAGACATTGAAAAAGCGTTCTTACAGGTCCGATTGCAAGAGCAAGACAGAGACGTAACCAGGTGCTTTTGGCTTCGCGACTATAAATCCCCTCCTTCATTCGACAATACGATCACATTTCGCTTTACACGGGTAACATTTGGGCTCAAGTCTTCACCATTCTTGCTGGCGGGAACCACTTACTATCACCTGGACACCTACGAAACGGATCATACTCTGGTTCAGGACATCAAGAAGAACATGTATGTCGACAATATTGTGCTTACGGCAGATTCGTGGGAAGAGGCATCACAAGTCTACACCAAAACAAAACGAATGTTCCAAGACCTCAATATGAATCTCCGAGAATTTTCCACCAACAATAAGCGGCTAATGCACAATATTAAAGAAGTGGACAGGGCCTCTGACTCACAGCCTAAAGTCCTTGGACTAATCTGGGACATACAGAAAGATACTATCCTCGTTTCCTGCGAATTCCCAGATACTCCACTCATAACGAAGAGAACAATAACCAGTGCGATATCTTCGATCTATGATCCTCTCGGTTGGGTCGTTCCCCTTCTGCTCCGAGCGAAGATATTTCTTAGGGAGTTGTGGAAACAACAGTTTGACTGGGATACCGTGCTTCCAAAGGAAAAGGAACAAGAATGGGTGCATATTTCGCAAGCAGCTCAGGGCTTCAAAAAGAACTTAACCAGGTATTTGGTACCTAAAGGAACCGAGGTGCTGCTGGTTACATTTGCGGATGCCAGTTCAACTGCAATGGCAGCATGTACCTATATTTGGGAACCTTCTGGCTCGTACTTAGTGATGGCCAAATCAAAACTTCCATCACTACACATTCACTACACAATACCCAAACTTGAGTTAAATGCAATAACATTAGCCCTACGACTGTCTCATTCTATTTATGAGCAGTTAGAAAGTTCACTCAATATAAAAGGGGTGTACCTCTTAACTGATTCGGAAATTGCTCTGAACTGGCTAAAATCTAAACCAGGGCGAGAAGTAGGAACCCTAGTCAATAACCGGCTCGCGGAAATCAAGAAAATCGCGGACCAGCTTGGTAGAAACCAATGCTTTCTCAAGATCGGTCGCGTGACCTCCCAGGACAATCCAGCTGATTGTGCTACAAGGGGATTGAATAGAAGGGAGTTAGAGTCTCACTGTTGGTGGACCGGCCCTCGATTCCTACAATCATCCCCGGAAAAGTGGACTAATAAAGAAACAATTTTTGACTACCCCAATCACGACAATACAATGGAAGTTCGGGGGACACTGGAAACAATTCTCGCGGTAAGGACCCCAAATAAAGTGAGGGAAGAGTGGGGGCTGTTAAGAGCTGATCAAGCCCAGACAATAACCCAAGCAAAGAGAATAACGGCCTATGTTATTCGTTTCCTCATCAATACAGCAAGAAGGGTGGAGAAAAGCAGAGGAAGGGAAATTGCAATGACAATAAATGAGGAAAGGCCTGTACAGGAAACAGAATGGCTAAGCGGAATAGAAATAGAATTAGCCGGCCAAGCCCTAATCAGAAATCATCAAGCAAGGGTAGTTTCCAAGGACCTCATTCGTTCGTTGCGGCAGCTCAATATACAGTCCGATAATAAAAATATCTTTCGCTGTTACGGTCGACTGGGTCAATCGCAATTGAGTGACAGGGCTAAGTACCCCATTTTTATTGGGCAGAAGACCTTTTTAGCGCAAATAATCATAAGAGATTTCCATCAAAGGGGCCATCCTGGTATAAACCATACAATAGCCATGATAAGACAGGAATACTGGATTCCACAACTGCGATCCCAGGTAATGTCATTAATACGGAGATGCGTACAATGCCAAAGGTTCAATAATCTTCCGTATAAATATCCACCGCAAGAAGATCTACCCCACGAGAGAGTAGTGCGGTCTCACCCCTTCCAACACGTTGGGCTAGATTACTTTGGGCCACTTCCCGTAGCAATTTCTCCGGAGACTCAAGGGAAATGCTATGGCGCCATCATTACCTGTATGACCACCAGGCTTATACATTTAGACGTGGTCTCCGATCTAAGTACAATAAAATTCCTGCACATGCTACGGCGATTTTTTGCAAGGCGCGGCGTACCGTCTTCAATAACCAGTGACAATGCCCCTACTTTCGAATTAGGAGAAGTCATACTAAGAGACCAGCTACTAGCAGCCAGATCTGATCCAAGAGTTGCTAAGGAGCTGAGCAATAGAGAGATCACATGGAAGCACATCACACCATATGCCCCTTGGCAGGGGGGATTTTATGAAAGACTGATAAAATCAGTGAAGCACGCACTTTTTAAAACCCTGGGACGGGCAGTTCTGTCACTAGAAGACCTGACGACAATACTTCTAGAAATAGAAGCAATACTGAATACACGCCCTCTCACGTGCATCACAAGTGATTTCAATATAGAGCAGGTGCTGCGACCAATAGATTTCCTTCAAAAAGATCTCCTAGTTCCCTACCCTATAGGACACAACCTTGGAGAGAATGAAGACGCATCCTTTTACCCTCCTAAGGAACTCGCAACTCTCGAGACGAAACGGCAAGCAGAGAAAGCCCTGGAAACCTCATGTCAATTGGTAGAGAAATTTTGGAGTCTTTGGCAATCGCAGTATCTAACGGCACTACGAGAAAAACATACCGTGAAAGTCGGGAGCAAAAAAGGCTGCTCAGTTAATCCCAAGGAAGGAGCCATTGTTTTGATTAGCGACCCCATCCTACCCCGTTATTCCTGGAAGATGGGCAGAATCCATGAGTTGGCAAAGAATTCGCGAGGAACGTCACGGGAAGCAGTAGTACGACTTCCCTCGGGACGCCTCATCCGACGTCCTGTGAACGCCCTGGTACCTATAGAACTTGAGGACGAAATCCCCTGCTCGCCTCAAGAAACAGAGCATACACCTGCGAATTCTAAACCGAGTCCTCATCATCCAAGTTCTACAAGAAGTGACTCATTCTGCCCACAAGATAAGGAAGATGAGGGAAAGAGAACTGATTCGGCTCAAAGAAAATACAACCTGCGAAACAGGAAAAGGATTCGCTACCGAGAAGACAGTGATGAAAGCGAAGGACCTTCCAGCCCTTCCAGTTTGATATCGACAATACTACAGATTGGAATGGTCTTGAATTTCATCTCTCTATCTTTGGCTTCAAAAATCTCGGGGACGTCCGAAGCAATACGTTCGATGAAGTGTGTCACAGGAGGTGTAGAACTGATCTCACCCGATAAGGTCCCCTATGAGATATGCGCCGAACATTACTGCATCCAACTAGAACGACCTTTGGTGCAGGAGAAAGTCAGGTTTCCCCCCGAAGTAGTGCTACATGAACACTCGGTGCAATGGAAATATATGGATAACCACTCCATCAGCACCCTAGAAACTGTATGTCCCCCTGGACCGTTTTGTCAATCAATAATTTGCACCTTTTGCTTTGCGAATATTTTAAATCCAGAATGTTGGCCCAAAAGCGCCATAGTAGCTACGGCAATCCTAGTATATTGCGCAATCACAGGGTGCTATGTGTTTCTATACGTACCTTTAGTGCTTGGGAAACCAGTAAGATTGGCAGGTCGACTAGTTTGGGCAGTAATGAGGACAATATTGCGATGTTGCAAACGAGTCTTGGGAGGGAGAAAAGCAAGATCAAGACGGAAAATTGCAGAAATCATAGCAATAATCAGTTCCGTAATCATACACCAGTCCCTACAGTGTCAGGAAACAGACCTATTATCCCATCAGTCGACAATTTGCACGGACGACTCACTCTGCCATTTCCGAGTTTCAGAAGTCCTCAAGATTAACCCCTTTAAACAAGAAATATGTCTGCGTCTATCTAAGAACAATACGCCAATCCACGATGTAAGGGTGCAATGGAAATCCCTTCTTCTAACGTGTGAACCAGAAACGGAACTCTATACGAGAGACGCTGTTCATAAGGTAGTCTACAGTAAGCGGTGCCACCTCAAAGGAGCCTGTAGGAAAGAGAAGTGCGGAGCAATTAATGCTTCGAGCATGATCACAGATCTGGCTGAAGGGAATCGGTACCCGGGGAAAACAGCGTGCGTGGAATCTTGTGGAGGGTTAGGATGTGGCTGTTTATCCCCTAGTTCGGGATGCCTTTTCTACAGAATCTACCTACAACCTATACACTCGGATATTTATGAGATATTTCACTGCACACGATGGACAGAAGCAGCAAAGGTCACAATAACCCATGTTAACACAGTGGAAAGAACGTCAAGAACTACGACAAAACTGCTGCTGCCCAACGTACCAGTGAAAGTTAATGTCTTTACAATAACCCTGTCGAATGTGGGAATACCACCCACACCTTTACTCAATACCCGGTTCATCTCCAATGGTGTTCGTACGGCTCTATGGAAAGCTGACGCACTACCAGCATTGCGTTGCGCCAATATCAGCAAAGCAGAAGAGCTAGACTGCGAAGTATACGAAGACTGTGTATGCCTCCCAGCCGAAAACTCTGCAAATTGCAGATGCAGGGATTATCCTATTGGGAATTGGTTCAATGAGATCAAAAATCAATTACCAGTAATTTTTCCTTCAATAACATTTCGTCAAGAAGCGACCCATAAAGTGCAAGCAAATATGTACAGCATGGTCACGTCGGAGATCATATTGTCAATTCATGACTCAATAAGAACGAAAATGGTAGTAGACGAGGCCATTTGTGAAGTAACGGCAGAGGAACTGACGGGTTGTTATAAGTGCGCACAGGGGGGAATGGCCCAGGTCACTTGTAAAGCCACGAGAGACAATATCCAAGCTGAAGTAGAGTGCGGCTCGAAAGTGTTCACAATACCATGCAATACTACTGGAGTCAATTCAGTGCTTCGCTTCAGTATGTCCCGAGCCAATGTCCACCTGACATGTTCAACAGCTTGTGGCAAAGTGGTCACCTCTTTTGAAGTCAGTGGGATTCTAAAATTTACCCTCTCTGCTCAAAAGATAATAGAACGGTGGCTGAAAGGAGAGCCAGTAACAGATGCGGAGGATTTTTGGCCAGACCTTCATCACATTGCATCGGTTTTCCTGCAATGGTATAAAACGTTAATGATAACAACTAGTTCCCTCCTTGTAATCCTAGGGTTGACTTATCTTTTCCTCTCCACAATCGGACTTCGCATCCTGATGTGGGTAGTTCTCCTGATTCCAAAAGCAATAATTTATCTAATTTATCTCACAATAAATTGGATAGGGAACTTATTTCAATCAAGAAATAAACCGAAGAATCATTCAAAACAAAACTAGGTGCTCAGATTTTGCAATACGATCATTTATTATTTTAAGACAGATTTGTATATTTTTCCAGAATATTTGGTGGGGAGATTTGGGATATAGTTTTTGCAGGATATCTTCCACGATGGCGTCCAAGAAATCTATGAAGGAAGTATATCAAGAGGATTTTGAGTTCTTGATGAATATCAACGAAGATCCTATCTCGGCCGATAAACTCGAGGCAGACCTTACGAATACTCTGAACAAATTCCATCAGTTCAAACAGAAAGCGAAGGAACTCGAACAAGATTGGGTGGATACGGTCATCAAGACCACTTGCCCCAATGAAGGTGGAATCGATCTAATTCTGACATTCAGTACTATCTTACGGTCAGCAGAGATTTTGCGAGGAAAGCTTCTCTGGGCGTCTCAGCGTCTCATCATGGTCGATGCTGCCTACAAGTCGCTAGTAGATAGTGAGAAAATAAGCCAAGCCAGGAGACAGCGATGGTTGCAAGAAGGTGGGGTGCATGACACGAACGTGCGAGACTTAGTTCCGATAGCCATAACCCGCTTAGATCAGCTCGGGCGCATCATTGCTGAAATGGAGTACGAACTCAAGCAGGCAGAGGCAAAGCTAGCCGCCGAAAAGCAAGAACAGGCTAACGTTTCCATGCACAACATCGATAAGGGATCCAAAAAGATTCAAGAGACTATGGAAGAAATGGAAAATCTCGGCGGTAAGGGTGAAGTGATCCTCAAGAAAGAACAACTACGTGAGGAAGGCGAAGAGGCAAAGAATCTTCCTTCAAATGCCATCTCCGACGATGAATACCTCGATAAGTTGATCAGCGATACGACGAGCGAAAACTCCAGGCATGATGAGTCACAAGCTGGTGAGAGAGAGAGCAACGGCTCTTACGAAAACATTGCCCTCGAAGATGCAAGAGAGGAACCGATGGAGCATGAAGAGCAATATGTTCCGGGACCGGTGGACGAGTTGGAGATCCGCAGAGCCCAACTACAAGATGATCTTACGAGGCTGGAGTATGGACTAGAGCGCTTACCGAAGCGTAGAATTGGTGACGCGACAAGCAGCAGAGCGCAGCCGCCTAGGCGCCCTTGCACGTTTTGCAATCAGTGTGGGGGACACTATTCGGACTCCTGTCCAGACATAGTGAGTGGGGCTGACAGACTGAGATTCGTGGACTATCAGGGTTTGTGCCGCTATTGTCTGGAGTTCTGTGAAAAATCTTGCAACAGGGAAAATAAGGGCTGTTTCTACTGCGAGGTTGTCGAGAACACGATCCTGAATTTCCTGATCCCTGAAGAACCACACCACCGAGCATTGTGTACTGTGCCGGATTCAAAAGATAGAATAAGACTCGAGATTTGGCGTGTCAGGAAGGAAATCGAAAATTTAGAAGCCAATACCTACCGCGCGCCGGCAGTATCGCTACGCGACAATAGATACTGAATTGGTAGGAAAGTTTCTCTCTTTTCCAATATTTTCTCTTCTTCTGTTATCAGTTGGCTGATCAGTAATATGTCTAGAATTGTAGGCTAAAAGCTTCGCGCGTTATCGTCAAGTTGATCGCATAATATTGCAGAGACGTCGATGGGACCGTATAAAAGGACGATGAGGCTCAGCTCGGGGCTCTTGGCTCTCGGTGATCGGCTCCCATCTCCCGTCTCTGGCCGGCTACTGTATTCCGGTGCTACGATATCGTCCACTCCGATTTATTCAATATTTGGTGTATTCCAATCAATATCTGGGATCGATTGGGAAGTTATCAATAAAGGTGATCTAAGCTTGGCTGTACTTCTTAAAGTCAAGAACCAATACCGCGTGGCCCTCAGTTTCTGAGGTTTAGGCGAGCATCATAAAGATCGGTTCTGATATTCACTACTGCAAGTATTTCAAGAGGTACGGACCAACATCGCACTGGTGTCACTCTTGCACACGAATGTGAATGTATCGGTGCCAAGTGGGCCGGCAGTGAAGAAAAAAGGAAAAGAATCCGTCGAAAACGCTCAGGTTGAGGGCTCACTCACCTTCCTAATTGGCTGTGCTAAAGGAACGAGAGACTAAGCGCGAAGAGGAGAGTATGGGGCGAGAGAGCGCATCAGATGAGAGAGCACCAGACAACGGCCTGATAAGAGAGCTCGTTCGCTGCAGCTCGAGCAGCTTACTTTGCAAGCCCAAAGCGTTCTTGTCGGTCGAATTCCGTGCACGTGAACGCCACATTTGTGATTGTCCCCTAGGGTTCTATACTTCTGACCGAAGAGAAGAGTTCACACGACCTCTGCCTGGGTTGTGCCTTTAACAATTACTTCCACGTTCCATCCACAGAAGGCTTTTGACCTCCACATGTCGACATTTCCACACTTGTCCTGGCTTCCGGACTGCCTCTGGATTTACGGTTCTCGTGGTAAACTCCGCTTATTTCGTTGCATGGCCCAACCACCTTTTTCTTCTTCGCTATCCTCTCCTTACTTTCTCCGGTCTCCGAACTGTCTCCGAGCCGATCTATGCGCTTAATCTAGAAACCCACTCTTGTGCGTGCTCCACCCACCATTTGAATTTAATCCTCCCCATTGTTTGCCTCAATTCACTTCCTAGTCTCTCGAGCTTCTTGGGACCGATTTTAAGTCTGGCAACCAAGTGCGCCCACCTTGGTGCATAAAACGCCCACCAAAAACGGTTAGTCTCCCTCCTTCTTTAAATCCACTATTCTCCTCCTCAATCCACTATTCTCCCCCTTTGTGTACTTTCTGATTTTAATTACGAGTTTCGCGGAAAACTGCGCCTACTTCGGTGCATGCCCCACCCAGTGATTGAGATTGACTTCCTTCTCTTTGCCAACCTCTACCCTCTGTTTTCTCGGTCTCCATGACCTCTCAGAACCGGGCTATAATGCCTTTTGGATATCTCTGCTCTGCCCACCGAGATCAGTTGAACTTGTCTCCACCGCCAACCCCTATCCACGTTTTTCCCGCTCGCCAAGGGCTCTCGGAACCAAAATATGGGGACTTGTAGGAGACGCTCTGCCGCAGAAGTACGACCCCCCCCCGAAATCGAGATCCTGGCACGACCCCCTAAACAGAGCAAATTAATTCAATTAATTAATAAATCCTGCAAAACAAATCAAAAAAAATCCTGCAAAATAATGTTATGGACGCCTCATCTTGTCATCTATGCACTGTCTTTCATCGCTGCACACTTTTGTGTATTTACTGAAATATCGACTCGAGGAAAGAGGCATTAACTTTGTGTGACCTCAAAGTCAGGTTCGTTCAGAAATGCACAGAAATCCTGAAGGCACGGGGTTGCGATTCAATCTTAATTCCTGCTTGAGTATATCAAACAGCCGAGTGTATCAATCAGGCCGATTCAACGGCAGCTGCGGCGCGATTGTCACTGGGTCAGATTTGCTGAAAT